ATTGATCTATGCTGTATTATTTATTTAAAATCCATTAGTATATATTATGGGCCTTTTCGCGGGGAGGACAGAATCCCCGTGACAAAAATGAATGTAAGGTAAAGGGAGTAATAAAAAAATGTCTTATTTATATCAACTCCTAAAGACCCTAAGAACGCCACCGTATACGCAGTTTTAAATTAAACAATATTATGCTTTAAATGTTATCAAAAAGAATATTTACAGCAGCATCAATGAGTTTGACTATTGTAAAATTTATGTGGTATTTCATTGGGTTTTTTCAAAAGCCTTTTCTAAATTATGGTGGCAACGGCAGTGAGTCAAGTACGATTAATGGTCAGAAGAGATGATTTTAATTAAATTATACTGCCTATTCTCTGGCTACTACTACCAAAGGCGTGAAGGAATTTTCATCTCTGTCAGAAGTTATACTTGTCTGTGCGATACCCAAAACGAGTTTCCGTGGTGTTAAATCAGCAACTTAACCACTTCCTAAGTATTTTTTATCTAAAAAAAAAATCTAATTAAACATTTATAATTACCGAATGTATTTTTTTTTATTCGGTCTTAATTATTTTTATTTCTACATGAGATTCTACAAGAAAATTTTAATGTTTAATATGTACCAGTAAAATTAAAATCAGAGTTAAATCATTTTTATGACATTTTAATGCTTTTTTTTTCGTTTTAAGCATTTGCTATGATTAATAATTTAATGGTTTCAAATACATCTCAAAATTGTCGCGTGACTTTAATATCACGTCACCAACCATGAAATGTCAACTACGTAATAGTCATACGATGAATAATCCAATAAGATATTAGAACGCCGAGTATGAGTTTGATGACACCACTATTATTATTTCCATTAAAATCATTATGAATTAATCTCGTTACGCGATAAGTATAAAAAAAAACACTTAAAGATGATGCGCATCGTTTTTTATAAGATAAAAAAAAAATTTAATAATAATAATGTTAATTAATCAATATATAATGCATTGTTTATTTATTGTACATTTAATAAATGTTTGGCATTTTGCGATTAATACGGTTATTTTCATTCCGTCGACTGTATCCGACGTTAGATGTTTTTTGTTATTTTTTTATACATGATATATATTATATGTATGTAATGGACGTTGTTTATATATCCGTTAGTCCATAAATCGTAAGTCTTGACAGCTTTAAAGTTTAACAAGATCCGGAAAGCTTCTAAGAGACGGACGTATGAGACACCGAAAATCGAAAACTTATTTCCTCTCTCCGTCTACTGTATTATATATAATATATAGACTACACCTAAAAATATATATATATGCTATTAATTTTTATCTTTGATCGTTATTCTTTCATCACTCGCATTTATTTCATGTGCGATGACAGTTGAATTACAACTTTGTTTACCTGCCTCATATCAATCTAATAATTTTCCTTTTGATTTTAGTTCAAAAGTTATTGGCCACCAACAACGTTAAAACTTACTCCTTTGATCTTTGCTACCAAATTGAGCGATTATTCGAAGAATAAATACTATTTCGGGAATACGTTTAATTCGCCATTAAGACAGAGACGGTTAAATATTATTTTCGATGCACAAGACAGTAAACAGGTCTTGGTTTATGTATCGATTATACAACACTAACTGTAAGGAATTTGCATTGTTTATATTAAAGAATTTATAGTTTGGATGAATAATAAACTGTCCGCATTTATTTTGGTATAAGATAAATGAATCTAAAGCGATTTAAAATGTTAATCCCTCGTAAGATCTCTTAACGCGACCCAAAGTTCACTATTCGCGACGAATAATAAATAAACATCAATATTCGTCGAGGTAAACCGCTCTAACTCAACATGACTTAACCGATTTTTAGTTTCACAAAAATGTAGTCACCGTAAATAAAGCATTAGCAAGTTGATGAGCTTTCAGTGTATGTTATGCTCGTGACCAACTCATTCGGTCATGCAAGTCCAAAATTGTCTGTGAGCAGAATAATAGAATGAATCTAATTCATTTCTGTCAAAAAAAAATTACGTGATTATCATTTCTAATCACCTTTATTGAAAATTTTCAGATTAGGTCTAAAAAGTAGTGGTTTATTTCAAGTTCAATTTGTATTAAATATTGAAACAATTAGTTTGTTCGAAATAAACTAAACATTCTTATCGTTTGTTTCAATAGGCTTATAAAATTATCGATATGGTTTCTACTCGTCACTGTTGTTATTAAAAACGTTACATTCTAGAAATTCCCCAGCAGAGGATTCCGTAGGATTTCTTTGGAGTCATTCAATGAAACTTGCTGACATTTTATTTGCCATAACATTCCTCTCAATATTGAAACGTTTTTTAATTAAAAAGTAATTTTTTTTTTTTAATCTGATGTGAATTAAAAAAAGTTAAACATTCCAAATGTTTAGTTAACTGTGATATTGGTATTGCCATTTAACACGGTCGATAAAATTTTACTCCCTTGGTGCATTTTATATATCGATTTTCGATTTTATAACAGTATAACGACCTCTCCGTGCTAAAAATGATTATCTGTATGATCAAAAAATACTCAAGAAAAAATTAATATCGACATTGTAAGTCAAGTCTTATTTTATACTCGTCAGTAGTCAGATGCACCAAAGTCTCAGTTGTGGTTCATAAACTTTTTTCTCTTTAGGATCAGAAATATAATACTTGAAAATATTTTTGGGGTTCGTCAAAAGTAGTCCTGTTGATTAGACAAATATATAAACAGTATATGTGAAACGTGTTGTCTAAAACAAAACATGATGTGTTCATAAAACGAGTTCGAGGTTGACTGATGTGTGTTTAATGTGATTGCAAATACTATTGTACTTAAAAATTTGTAATTGTATCGAATACGCGTTTGAACATTTTTACACGTGCATAATTAAAACATCTTGTGAAGGGTTGCACTGGTGTAATCACGGCAAGTGATACGGATGTCATATCCCTTCTGACAGAAATAATTGTATGGCAAAGATGCAATATTTTTCGTTTGGAGGGAGAGTGGAAAATTTTCTTATGTTTATGCCCCCCCCCCCCAAGACGAAACCCTTATTACACCACTGCACGTTTGTCATTTATTTCGTGTATAAAAATGATAGCGCAGTGGTTCAACGAGTATGCGATTCAGGTGAGATGTGTCAAAAGCACACGTTTAAAATTAATGGGTCGTGGCTTCATGCTCTAGAAATAATCTGTCAAAGGAAGTGATTGAAATGTACACATCCAATTTGTCGAGGAACTGTACGAGCTTTTGATGGATTATGACGAATTCAACATTTTAAAACTTTTTAATCCCTCCAACCTCCCGTTCCCGACGTCTTTTAATAATATACGAGTTTATTAATTACTATCCGTCAAATGTTATCTATTTGCTCATGTTTATTGAAGATGTAATTGTTGTTAACTAAGTTCGGTCGGAGTAGGATTTTTTCACGATTTCCCTACGAGATAAATAAGAAATATCTCATTTAACGGCCCCGATACATTTAATTTGCCTGATCTCGTTATGTCACTGTACGTGTAACTGGCTAATCCACTAAAGCGACGTGTTATTTCGAACGGGTTAAGCACATTGGGGTATTAATTATTACACAGACATTATAACAACATTGATATTATTATAACTTAATACTGTAATCGATAAATTGCTAGATTCAATGAACTGATCAGACAAATCCCTTCTGTAACAGTGTGTGTATAGGGTATAGAATTCAAAAGTCTGTTTAATTAAGTTTCGCCTTTAAAGGATTGAAGGCCAGCACGGATGTTGGCTTAAATCCGAAAAAGCAATTACATTAAGTCATCGTAAAAGAGTTTTTCTTCTAAAACGTGTAATAATATATGTTCGTCTCTTCGTTATATATTTTAAAACGTTATATTCTTCGCTCAAACTCATTGATCATTTATCATAATTTTATTCTGGAGAAACTAACAGAAAATGTCGACGCAATTCTCTAACAGATTGTTATTGTCATTTGCCACATCGGCCGGGCGTATTGTGAACGGTTTTATCGAGCCAAATTTAAGGGACATCCGAAAAGTGATGGAGAAGGTGTGAGTAACTTCAATCGTCACCAGATCATTCAATTAACTAGAAACGACCAGATAAGTGTTACATAAAAATTCCATCTCTACATTTACGGTCACGTACAATACTCCTCTTTGGCGTTCATCCAATGTGACAAAATAAAATCATTAAATATTTCAACCGAAAAAACCAAATAAAAATCTCAAAATGTTTTCAAATTATCTCTCATCGTCGAACACAAAACACCGTCCAGATAAAATTACATTTATTACTGTTTGGGCTAAACTTGAAGTATCTATGTAAATTTTAGAAAATTGTTCAATTTGTGCTTCAGTTACTTTTGACTTCGCTTGACTTGTTGTCTTAAGGTATGTTTAGTATTGATTTACTACAACTACTCAGTAGCCGTTAATGGATAATATAATAATTACAGTCAATTTGCACAAGTTATTTCTCTAGAACTTTATAGCGTTCTCCATTGAGTTAGACTTCTAATAAATTGCTCCTAATCAAAAATTAAACAATTACAAATCGTTTAATTAATGAATTTTTTTTTGTGTTGTCTTTAAAATAACATGTTGCATAACACAATATCATTCGATCGCAAACGAATCGTATTAAAACAATTTAAATCTACGGTGAGATTACATTACTTATTATAAAAACGTTAACACTAAAGAAATATTTCACAAATTATTGAGTTGTGATAAAGAACTATAATCTAATATTGTATCATTGTAAACGTTATGCATATTTTATAAAGTATTAGTAATATAATAAACGAGTAACAATCTACATATTTAAACATAACCTGCAATTGTGCGAATTCTTGTAATGAGATTGTCTTTCAAACAGTATATTACAGAAGTAATTATATGAAACCTACTTGGAATTTTTAACTATAACTTTTTATAATAAAATTTGTTTGAATTTGTGTTTGTTATAGCCGTTAAATCTGTCATGTTAAAAAATGTCGCCAATAATACGATCCTAGTGCCAGTCAAAAGCCCCGTCACTCCAACCAAAAGACCTAAGCCTCATGTCGATTGCACGTTAAGGCAGCATACTTGCGGCAATGGAAAATGCGTACCTTTAGCTTGGACTTGTGATGGCGATGACGATTGCGGGGACAACACTGATGAATCGCTAGAGTTGTGTAAAAATGGTAAGTGTTTACATGCTGTTGTTAATACTGAACTTGAAGGTGTTTGTCAACAAGTACTTTTACTTGTGAGTTATACGTGCGAATGTCAGTGACCTGAAAACAGTATTCTCCAAACAAAAAAGGTTTAAAACATTGAGGAATTTTATTTCATTTACCGTAGTTGAATGCAGCCATTTTTTGCAGTGATTTATGCATTTTTCAAAAAGTTATCATACTATGTTTACCTTTTAAGAATTGTTTTCCTAATTAGACTTATGTTATCCTTGAAATATAAAACATAACAAAAAATTTATCAATTATGGCCAATATTATTGTAGACTAAAAACATATTTAATTCGCTCATGATGGTAACATTGTTTCTGAAATACGTATATGCAGTTCTTTAATGTTAAAATATTTTTTAATTTAAATTACTGTTTTAAATACATGTTGAGTTTTAAAAATAAAACGTTTATAAGGCTTGGAAGTTAATTAAACAAGAACTTCACGACCTTCCGAAAAACCTTAAATTTAATGTGACGACTACATTTATCATTGTGAAAGTTAGGGAAACATATATATATATATATATATTTATTGAAACTAAACCTACTTCTAAGCGCATACCTAACACTGATCTTATGTAGAAATTTGTGTTTAATTAATATCCCAATATTAAATAGAATATTCTGTATCTCGGATGTAACGGGAAATTCATTTGGCAAACCTACCAATGTTCATTGGAATAGTTTTTATTTTCGATAGTCGCCATAGTGTTAACTCAGTCATTGTGTTTTGATTGTTTTGTTTTCGCTGTCGTTAATCGACTGTATCATAGTGAATGGTGAAATGATGTGTAAACTCAATGGTTCAACTTTTTGCTGATAAAGTTATTTTTACATCACAACATAATGCTGACTTTTGATATTAATATACAAGTTTCTTCTATAAAATAACAATATTACAAAAAAGAAACGATAACTTGTCCTTATAAGGGCAACGGTTAAACAAGTAATAACTTCTCACACTTCCTATGCATACAGGAAAAGGTATCTTTTATTCATTCAACCATTCCTCATTTGACTATTCCAAATGAACTGATTTAAATATTAACGTCGGTCAGTGTGTCAAGAACAATTTAGCGAAAAAAAAAACACATTGAAAATGAATGAATTTCAATTAATTATTGCTGATATGAAAACAATTTCGGGATTGGTCGTAGTTCATGAAAACATCGGCAGCGCCGGAACTGTGGGGCAGCTGTCAGGTATGCACAGAAGGTACCACATTCATGTTAACGTGTATCGTAATCCGTTAACAGTCCAAAATCGCACCAGCGACAATAGACACACGTGGTTGGACACCGGTAGGGTCACGTGATGTGGCGTGATGTTGTATGCGGTGACGCGGCAGTGTGCACGTTGGGAGAGTTCTGAATGAGTATAACCTCCAACAACTATCTATTATATCTATAGCTAGTACTACTACAACATTTATTATGCCGTTGCCCGTCTGGTCTAAATAAACGACCTCAAGTTGTCGTGACTTGTTTGCTATGCGCCTTCGGTTGTATAACATCAAACCGACTTGATATGGTTGTGTAAATTACGAATAACGCGCCATCGAGTTTTTTAACCTGTTAAGTATTTTTTATCGGACTTGATACTTAAAAATAGTAGTTCGCGTTGTGTTACCAGTAGCCCATGTTCAGATAACTATCGCTAATACTACCAACCGAATATTCAAAGCTTCCTGCAGTATTATTATTTTTAATGTCATCAAAATTATTCATACTGTCACCTTTTCGTATTAAAATATAGTCAACACTGGATAAGTATCCAAATAGAGTTAAATGAAATGTGTATCATGTTATCATTTTCATTAGATTGAGCTAACAGATAACGACCGTTGGTTCAAAGTAAATGCAGTCAAAGTTTGAACGGTAAAAAAAAAGTTATGTGTTTTTATATTTTCTGCTGACTTTTTCAGCAAAACAAGTAAATTGGATTCTCTAAGAAAATAAATAACTCGATCGTTTGTCAAACATAAATGAGCTCGTTTATCATTTTATTCATCAAGTTTCTTATTAGAGTTTGTTTTTTATCTTTCGATTAGGGCGTCATATTTTTATTGATTATCGTAATTTTTATAGCAATCGTTCAATAAAAAAAAAAATAGGGTGAGTCTCACTTTTAGTTGAAACATTCTCAATTTTTGGAAATAAAGTATTGTTGTCGAAGGAATCCTTAGGGTTGTTACTGTATCACCGGAAGTTCGGTATGTGCCGCCGACACTGTCCTTGTGTATGACTAGTCGCCAATAAGATTGGTAAAAGGCCAATCGTCTGAGGGGATGTAACCGTCACCAGTCTAAATTGCTTGTAAGTTCTCCCCTTCTGATATCGTAATTGGTTCAAAAAAATAATCCTAATAAAAATCGATTTAAAATATGATTTATTACTATTTTCATTTCACAGTGGGCGTTTGCAAAATTTGTGTTCGACGTTTTATTACCTAACTCAATTGTCGTAGGAATTTAAGACTATTTTAAACCATTATGCGAAAAAAAAACACAAAAAAATTCGTGTTTAGATTTAAAAATATGTCATGTAGATATTATTGTGTAGACATGAAGGCACGTCATTAAACGCTATAAAAAAAAAAATCAAAAACACTCCAAATGACGTAGACGGTGGCGCGACGTTTGACTGCATTAGTTTTTGATTATCTGCCAAACATAATCGCGATGGAAAAGTCTTCATGTATAAGACTATAAATGACTCGGTAGCTAATTCTAATAACATTTAATGAGGTTATTGTAACTTGGGCTTTACCCAGTCTAATTTTTAGTGAAAACTGAGGTCGGTCGTTCCGCACATTGTTGACTTTGCGCAAGCCATTTCTCTTTAAAAGCCAATTTATAATCAATAAATAAATAAATTTATAATAAATGCAGTGAAAATGAATTATTAATCTACAAAAAATATACTTAATAAAATTATTATTAATTCATACTTTAAATAAAATAGACATTCAATTGTTACGGTGTATCGTTATCAAAAGTCTCTAAATAACAGAAAATTATCTGATTATTTCGTTTATAATGATTACACTTTAGCTATTAACATTATATTAGTGTAATTTTGAAGTTACAAATGTATATTTTAAGTAGAAAATTGTTAATTGGTCCTAAGTCCGGTTCTAACAGTCACAATTATTATCAAGTAATGCGTACATAATTTTTTTTATAATTCTAATCCTTAAACAAAAAAATGTGTAATAGATGCAAGGTACTAAAAAAGTGCCTTGTGAAATAACGGAACAGTTAAAAATTTGCCCATTCTCGTAAAATCTAAAATAACATCTCTACTAGAGATATTTCTTATTTTTTGATACACCTTGATAATAGCTTCATGTAATTTATTTTTAATTGATATTGTTCTTATGAATAAATTTATTTTGAATAATCGTAAGCCACCGTTATAAATTGGCCAACAAAAAAGGTATCACCATTGACTCAACACAGCGATTGAACAAAACAAGCGGTACCTTTCTCCCTGTAGTAAAATGTATATTTTCTTCCAACGGTCTTCTTTATTGTAATTGTTACAGCAAAATAATGAATAAAAGGACGGGCGTGACACTGAGTTTTATGTTTTGTTCGTCGTCAGCCATTGTTTTGTATGGTACAAAAATATAAAACTGTCTGATACTCAATACTTGGGTTCAATAGCACGTGTAGGTACCGCAGGCATTCCGACTGCATTAACAACACACCATCACCAAGGTTCTTTAGTAAAACGGTTGTATTTTTTTAATACTCTTTAATAAAAGTTATCTCCTCGATCTTCAATGCTGCCCGTCCCTTTAACGACTTCACGCCTTTTTAACAACGGCATATGATCACTCACAAGCAAATGAATAACACGAGCAGTGTTAATGTACGCAAAGCATAAAATATAAATTGTTATTGGAAAAATACTACATTAGTGTAGAGCCTACGTCATCTTCATTATCTCAATGCACACGGCGCATTATTATTATTTGCAGCAATAAATGACTGCTTGATGTTATTGGCAATCCTTAGCAACCGTGTTTTACTATGCATTTTTCTGTTATACGCATAAATCCTTCAGGCATAAAAACAAAGTGTTCTGCTCGTACATTACATTTTTTGAAATGGTCGCGAGAAATGTATAAAACATAAAAAGTAGCTCTAGTTGTGTGCTTAGAGTTGTTGTGATGTTATAACCTTACACGTTTATAACATTGTCACGTTTATAAATATGTGTGTATATTAAAGTGTCATACCATTCAACGCGGCGTCAGGTATATTAATTTTAACGTGACGTATATGACAGTCAATTCGTCTCTTTTACTTAATACCAATCAAACACCATCGCTATTTATCGTGAAATTACAATACTTGGCTTTCGTTCAATTGAAGTGTAGAAAGTTTATCTAAAAAAACGTGAACTTTGGTCTCCCTCTCCCTATTAAGAAGCAGTGTAACAACAGCTTGTGATAAGTGTATTTTGCAGTAATATTTCCCCGAAAACATTGGACGATCGATAAATTAACTTGCCCTAGGCGGCTTTTGATATTTCCTTCATCTGAGCAATGATTATTCCCTCGTGTTCAATTGAAAAACTGTCGTCTATTACGTATTGATACTATTGGAATAGTTTTTGTTATTTTTCTCAATAAGTTAATTATTCAATACGTCACTTGTGTATTTTGAAGAGTAATTTTCACTTATCGGCGTAAGATACTGAAGGTGAAAATAAATTAAAATTTCATTCAGAACTGTGTATACTACAGCTGTAATTATGTTGAAATTATTCCAAGTATATTGCACTGAACTAAATATTTCATTCTGATGAGGTAATAACACAATTATATCACAAAACAAATATAATTGATTGAGCTAATTCGATTTTCACGACAATTTACTGAAAATTATTCTACATAAATACTTTTGTCCTAGAATATATCATCGAATATAACTTTCTATCTACTAGA